ATCCAAGTAATATCATAAATTTCATTAAAAATATTGGGCTCTAGAGAAAAATATATAAAAATTTTTTTTCTAAATCTGCTTACTTACATAGTTTTGTAACCTATTTTGGAAGGAAAGCAATACATTTTTGAAGAAAAATTACTACCAGCAATATATTTGACTCAACAAAATCCCTCTTTATGAAATATGTCAATGAAAACTGATCTACAAAATGATTTTTTTATACTCTATTCATATGAACCTATCAGAAAAAAATCTTGTTGACATTAAATAACCCATTGAGGCTGATATGCTGTAAAACAAAACAAATCAAACCAATCAACCCCCTGACAAAGTTTCAATGTTGAAATTTAAACCTGTTTTTAATTTGAATATTCTGACCACTTATCCACATGAGTATCTGCAAACTTATGCTGGCTATCAACTCATTTGACAAGTAAACTTGCTTAGAAGTAATGCATCTGCTAAGTTTATAACCATTTACAGCTTGCACAATGCCACATCAACTCACAACAACTGTGTTAAGAATTACAGAATCAAGCAGATGTGAGATACACTCCTGATCAAAAATTTAAGACCACTTGAAACTTTTTTATAATAGACTGTTTGTCATGGATACATTATAATCCTTTTCTTACTTAAGGTTACTAATTCTATAATCTAAAAGGTTATGTAGACCAAAATTTAAAATCCGATCAATTTATTCAGAAATGGACATTTTTATAAAATGAGGCGTTTTACACTTGATCAAAATTATAAGACCAGGAGGTATAACTTGTTAAGTCTAGGGTAATTCCAATGTTTTTAGTTCAGTTAGAGATTAGCGACCACTTCGTAAAGGTGTCACAATGCCTAAAGCAAGCAAACTTACCGAAGTTGAGCGTGCTCGAATTCTAGATTTCAAGGTTTGTCACAGCGAGCGATCACAGCTAAGGTAAATCGCAGTAAAACTGTGATTTGCAACTTTCTAAAGGACAGTGCGAATTATGGAAACACAAAGTCTACTGGTAGGCCCCAAAATATTTCTCCGGCATTGAGTAGGAGAATAAGACGGGTTGTTGTGAAAACCAGTGGACTTTCTTCTAATCAAATTAAGGCAGCCACTGCTGATTGCAGTCCAGCAACCATCAAACGACACTTACGACAAAAAGGCATGGTAAATAAAAAGTGTAAAAAAATTCCTCGGCTGCTTCCACGTCACAAAGTGAACTGTTTAAGGTTTGGTCGTGAATACCAAACATGGAACATTGAGAAGTGGAAAAAAATCCTGTTTTCTGATAAGAAAAAATTCAATCTAGATGCCTCCAGAAAATTTTCTCCACACGTCATAGTGGTGGAGGGACACTAATGGTATGGGGGGTGCGTTTTCTTACAGAGGGACGATGGAGCTCCAGGGGGTGCAGGGTCGTCAGACAGCGGCTGGTTATGTTAGCATGCTACAAAAAGCATCGTTGGTGACAGAGGACCAACAGGATAATGCTGCAATCCACGCTGCATGCTAGACCTTAACCTTTCTACAAGAAAATGGGGTCCATCTCTTGAGACATTATGCATGCTCACCGGACTTGAACCCAACTGAAAATGTTTGGGATGGATGGCAAGAGATGTTTATCGAAATGGCAAATAATATACAACATAAAATGAACTTCCTGAAGCTATCTTCAGAAGCTGGAGCAATATTCCTCGCAGCTTAATGGAAACGCTAATTTCTAGCATGCCCCAAAGAATTTTTGAAGTCATCAAAATCATTGGAGGTAGAACTTATTATTAAATTTGGTAGTTGAATGTTTTCGTACATTTTTTGTACAATTTCGTAGAATTTTTGTTTCTAGTCTTATAATTTTGATCAAGTGTAAAACACCTCATTTTATAAAAATGTCAGTTTCTCAATAAAATGTTCGGATTATAACTTTCTGTCTACATAACATTTTAGATTATAAAATTAGTAACCTTAAGTAAGAAATGTTTAAAATTTTTCCATGGAAAACAGTCTTTTTAAAAAAATTTTCAAGTGGTCTTAAATTTTTGATCAGGTGTGTATTCGGATTAGAACTTTTTCATCTGTGTTTAAATCTTGGTAAAATTAAGCAATTCAAATACTGATTTTCAAAACTAGATGTCAGCAGTCATTTAGTATATGGATGCTACACGCTCTTCTAGTTTCCAAGATACAGAGAAACCTATTTGATTCCTTAGTTTCTTTTTATGTAACTAAATCCTCATTAAAAGCTATTGATTATAGCAGTAAAACTAAAATCAAACCCTCAGACAACATTAATTTTAATGCCCCCCCACCCACTGCCTCATTCTCTTATGCCACATGAAACTTATGATATGACATCTGAGTGAAAGGCTTACAATTATACAGTAGAAGCCAGCCACTAAGTACACTGCAAGACAAACTGATGAGGGTGGGGAGAAATCATTATGTTGTACATGGTGAAAAGGGAGAATTAATTAGAGAAGTTTGAAGAAATCATCTTTCAGGTGTTTACCTTTA